CCAGAAATACTCCAGAGTGGGATCGTGTTTTACAGTCGTTGCGATTATCTTGGATGGTCGCTGGAGATTTCAACATCGGTTTGGCTGAGATGAAGCGATCGCAGCGGTTGGCCAAGGAGCACGGTGTACATGCTGATGTGCAGTACACCAATGGTGGTCGAGGAGGAGACACGCATCGACTACCTGGTTGCCAACAGCGCATGTTTGCCTGATCTACGCGGCGCGGAGGCAGGTCAGGACGCGCCGTGGAGGCCGCACTGTGGGCTGGATGTTACACTTCTCAGCAGAGGTGAGCAACGACTGGCTCTCACCATGCCCACCGCGCCTCGCCCCCCACAGTTGCATCTGCCGCGTCAGCCAGCCACGGCCGAATCGAAGTGCGTCACTGGTGCAGCTGATCAGAGAGGCGCTGTGAAGCTCGTAGCGATTTGTTGCCCGATCTTCTTGTGGGATCCCGCGAAAGGTTGGAGGGGTCCCCAGAGCCGTCGGGCGCACGGTCTGCCGCACCGCTGTAGGGCTTCTGTTGCGCAGGATGTTTCAGAGGAGATATGAGAGCAGCGCTTGTCAAGTGTTGCAGGTGTTGTCGAAGGCTACGATTGCGAAATCGATCCGTGGGGCGATGAAAGCCGCTTCCACACCGCAGTTGAAGTAATGCCGAAGCCCGAACTTGATGCGCAGGATTCAGGGCACTCAGCTGTCACGAGCAGCGCTTGCCCCAGGGGCCACGCGCACCGCGGCGGCGCGACGAGTCGCCAAGAAGCGGAGTTGGGCAATCTTTCGCGGGAGCGCAGGGCCGACCCCAGCGAAGACGCACGCCCCAATGCAGCGATAGGCGACGTCATGCCCGACTCATCTGAGCATGTCCCCGCCAGCGCCGCTGATGATATCTCTCCTTCGTTTGCTCTTCAGTACCCACTTTGGCCCGAGCACCAGCTGCGAGTCGGCTGGGTAACGCGCTCTCTTGGCGATGTCTGGCCTGCATTGATTCTCTTTCGTTTGCGGTGGCTGGACAGCTCACATTTCATATCTGCGCTGGGTTCGCCGCTTGGGCGCAGTGCGCGAAGGGCACTCTTAACTGAGCATCGCGGATTGGAGCTGCCGACGCGCTCGGGAGCACCAGGGCCTGAGCAGCAGACTGGACCAGTTCATGACGCAGATCATCGGCGGGGCCAACCGCTACGGGATTGCCATGCGCCATGGTGGGCTCGAGTACACGCGGCGGCGCAGCGTGTCGAGAGGAAGCGGCGCAGCGGAGAGGAGCAGGCGAGGCAGCTTGCTGAGTGCGCGCGCAAGCTGACCGACACGGCGCCTGCGGGAGCCAGCGGGCTCTTTCATGCTGGCTGCGGGCCTTGGGGCGCGCGGGCGGCGCAGGCCAGACGGCTGGGGGCGCCATCGCGGCGGCGGCGGCAGACCGCGGCCCGAAACGCGGCAGGTCGAGGGCCACGCAGCAGTCACTACAAGAGCTTCGCGAGTGGATCGGCGCGACGGGAGAGTTGGGCGCATTGCATAAGAGCATCAAGCAGTAATCGCCGGGGGTGGATGGATTTCACACTGCGGGAGCGCGCGCTGCGCATCCAGTCGACGCGGTCGATGGGAAGGCAGAGAATGTTTCTTCGGAAGTGGCGGACCGACAGTTTCGATCTTGAGCGCGCGAGCAGCGTCGCGCAGTCTGCGCGGGCGCACGCCGAGGCGGGACAACTCGCTCCTCTCGCGGAGACGGACCTGCGGAGAGCGCAGGCCCAGATGAAACATTCAGCCGGGCTGGAATGCGACCAGCTTTCACAGATCGGCTCCGAGCGACTTCCAGGCGAGGCTATGGAGCAGATGTGTCAGATGTATACCATGGCGGAGGAAGGATTGACCGGGCCCCAGCAAGTCACGCCGGCGGTCGGGCGCCCGCTTGCGAAGATATCGGGGGGAGACCCCGTCATCGGACTCCTCTCGATGTCGCGCAGGCCGCGGAGTTTGGCACGCGAGTCGCGCGCCACGGAGTGGTCGGAGTCATCTGCTCCACGGTGGGGCTCGGCAGTGTCTGGAAATAGCCCCTCGAGAGAGGCGTTCGTCGGGGCCCTCAATTCGGGGGCGCGCGCGCATGCGCATAGCTCCAGGAGAGGCCCCATTAGATATTGAGGACTTTTATGACACGATTGAGTTTCATCATCTCGCTGACACGGCGACAAGGTCAGAGTTTCCATCAGCGATCTTGCCTTCGGAAATGCAGAGTTGCACGGCACGGAGAGTGCTGCGCCAACCCAATTCATTTTCGAAGCCCATGCAGGTCGCGCGCAGCATTGTGCAAGGGCTGCGCGGGGGCACGCGATTCGCGAGATGCCTCGCGCATTCTGTTTTCGAGAAGCTGTGCACGGCGCATCCGAGAGTGTCGGAGCGCATCTGGATAGACGAGTTGGCACGGAGGGCGGTTGGTTATCACAGGCAAGTTCGACACGATCTAGTTGCTTTCATCACCGACACGGCGCATGAGTTCAAGAGATATGCACTTGGCATTGCGGATAAGAGCGTTATGATGTGTTCGGACATGTTGACGCTAAGCTGGTAACTCGTATGTAAAGACGTCGTGATATCCAGATCACTGCAGCGCTGCAGTCGGCATATTTGGGAGTGGACATGCGTGCAGGAGTACGTCAGTCACGAGACACGGCCAGGCAGAGGGTAGTCAAAGCAGGGTTCTAGCATCACAAACTGAGGCGGTTTGCAGCGGCATCCAGAAGATATGCAGACACTTCACGCATTGAGTGAGCAGGTCCTCAGGCGGCAGCTTTGCACGCACATCAGGTAGATGGCAGGTTCGGGACGGACATGGCGTTGCAGAGGCGAAGACTTGGAGCAGCGCGTAGTGCAGCACGGCGTGGCAGTTGCATCACGACATCGTTGGGATTACGAGCGAACGGAGCAGGCCCAGGGTTACGGTTACCAGTGCTACGGTTGTCACAGTGGTTGCAGGCATGGATCACAGAACCGAGTTTGCGACCAGGAGTGAGACGCATGTGGGATCAGGTCGGATGCAAGAAAGGAAATGCGCAGTTGAAATTTGCGAGACCAGTACTTGTGAGAGGTGTTCTTCGGCCCCCGAGCCAGACATCCACAGGAATTCGCTTTGAAGATGCAATGGAGGAGGTAAAGCGGTAATCAGAGCATCGTGTGCCCAAGACTGTTGCAGGTCAAGAGGCACGTGCGTGCTTCTGGAACAGGGTTTTGCCATCGCAGTGGGCACGAGTTTCGCCGCCGCAGGAAATGCGAAGGCTGGAGTTGTGTCCGCCTTTTCTGTGACCGGCTCGCTGGTGGATGCGTCGGACACGGCACCGAAGAGCAACCATTGTATTGTTTTGGTGACGCCTCAGGGGGGAAGGACACGCACGACCCGAGACTACCTTGGCGATCTGCGTGGTGTCTTCGTTCCGTCCAGTTACTATCGGCGCATGTGTATTCGGTGGGTTGCCAGGTGCAGTTCAAACTGCGTAGGGTGAGCACGCAGCGTTTGAGTTGGCCGTGAGATGGTCATCTGGGAAGCTGGTGCACGTCACGGGCCGCGCAGAGGTGGCCCGCAGAGGCGACCGAGCGGTCAGAATGCTGGCATAAGGAGACAGATCAAGCGGAGTTTAGGTGAGCAGGGCAAAGCGGCAAGGGACATCACGGTGCTTCCGGTGCTATCGCACCTGAAGGCGCAGGAGGTACGCAGCCGTGGATTACCGAGCTGGCTGATCGAAGGCAATGTGGCAGTGGATCTGCTTGCAGGGAAGGCTGCAGGACAGGTCCGTGTTGCCGCGCACGAGAGGGCCAAGCTGGTCCATGCTGGCAACAAGGCTATGTTGGTGCGGCACAGGCTGCCACGAGTTGCTCTGCTCTACATTCGAGCGGAGCAGGAACGGAAGAAGGCTGCCGCGCAGGAGAGAGCGCGGCGGAGAGGCGACGGTGGTCATGATGCAATCCCTTTTCCTCCTTCGCGTCCTCGCCGAGTATTGTTGCTCGCTCTGCGATTGGCCATGTCCTGGACGAATCGGGAAACATATGTGTGCGCTGTAAGGGTTCGGCCACCACCGCTTCCTTGACGCAATTTCTCCAGAGTCCGTGCCATGATATTCAGAATGTTGATGGTAGGGTTTCTAGGGCTAGGAAGGGGCTGCCGTCTTCATATCGCTGGAGGTTGGGCCCACTTTTCGCAGGCCTAACATTCCACCACTGCTTGTGCATCTGGTTTGGCGAAGTTTGCGGGTTTTTCGCGCAAGCCCAGTGAAGAGGCTTGGCGGAGGAGTGCAAGCTCCCCGTGTCCAAGAGTAGGAAGGAATACTTCGATAGGCTCACAAGGGACCTCTACTCGAAAGCCAAGGAGCTCAGGGGTGTCGATGCTCGAGCAATGGCTTGAGCGGAGGATTGATATTATTTTCGCTACGCGAAGGCTGTAAGTCCTGTAAGTCCTCCTCCTCCTTCTCCTCCTCCTCCTCCTCCTCCTCGAGCGTGGAACGAGCACGAGTGTGGGCCCTCTCGCGGGAGGGGGAGGATTCAAGGCTTGGAGCCTAGCAGCGGTTCCGGCCAGCAGGACAAGTTGGGGGGGGGGGGGGGGCAAGTTCGCGGCGCTGGGTTCGGGAAGGTGTTTTTTGCCACGTTCGGCCTCCAGCCTCTGGGTGTCCTTCTTGGGCCCTGGGGCGGTCAAGGACGGATGCGGGGGGAGAGACTACACCGGAGGGGCCCAGGGAGGGACATAGTTAACGCGGCGTTGAAGTCTTGAGAGCGGTGTTTTTGCACGCTTCATGACATTTAAACGCTTACCTCTCAACGGAGACCTTTCTTCAGTGGAAATGAATCCGTGCAGGGACCTATGAAGAGGGAGCTTGGAGGGGGGTTATTCCAACATCGTTGATGAGTCTTGGGTATGCACTGGTCTTCCTCCTCCTCCTCCTCCTCCTCCTCCTCCTCCTTCTACTCCTCCTCCTCTTCCTTTGGTGAGGGGGTGAGGCGGCGCGGCGCCTCCCGGTAGCGAAGAGGTGGCCGCTACGCGAAGGAGAGCTTGTGGGCGGAGCTTGTCGGTCACAGCATCGACTTCGCCAACATCGTGCGAGGGGGGCAGCAGGAGGAGGCGAAGCGGGCAGTCGACATGGTTCGCCACGCAAAACGCTTTCGCGCGTGTTCGTCGGATCTCGTCTGCGTTCCAGCCCCAGGATGCGTTCCAGCAGCCGCGCCTCGCCGAGGGCGTTCCAGCGTGCCCGTCTCGTCCCGAACGGCCGCTGGAGACCCGAGTTATGGCCCGAAAGCCATAGAGTCGACGGCAAGGAGACGGTCTAGGCCTCCCAGATGGGGTCGGAGCAGATGGGGTCGGAGGATCGCGGCGCACCGCCGATGCATCGGCGATGCTAGGAGGAGGAGGAGGAGGAGGAGGAGGAGGAGGAGGAGGAGGAGGAGGAGGAGGAGGAGAGGGAGGAGGAGGAGAGGAGGAGGAGGAGAAGGCGGAGGAG